GGTCATGTACAATTGTGTACGAGCATTCACATTCGACCTGCGTATCTAAATACAGTGTATTTCTATCTGTTGAAACAGAGTGATATAAAAAAGCGAGTAGTGAGAGCGAACTTATGTCCAATGATCAGTTATTGCAAATTCGAACGACTTCCTGAATTGCGAACAAGTATCTCTATGTTTAATCAATAGAATACATTTCATTATACTTTTTTGTAGTAGTAGGAGCCACTATTCTATGCTATTTCAAGCTATATTCTACTGATATTTTAGTACCGAAGGTGGATTAGTCATAACTTATGAGGAAATTTTGCAGTGACATTATAAATACAATTCCATGCGTTTTATGAATGAGCTATTACAATTTTTTATACGGTTTAAAGGTCCAGATAATAGGCCTTAATTTCGAAAATTTCCATCTGTTTTACTCTAAGAGATAATCAGAATTGTCCGAAAGATTCTTCAAGATAGAACATTGAATTCGTGACATTAAACAGTTTGCTTCAAAATTTTTTCATCTTGTCATAATAGAAGAAGCGATCTGTATAGAAGACCCTTGACAAATTTTAAGTTTATAGCCTAGTTTTAGCCCAAAAGCATAACTCGAAATGTTGGAGAAAATATGAAATTTGAGATTATTTGACGAGATCCGATATAAAGAAAAATTCTAAAAGTTCTGAGTTTAATCATATTTTTGATCGTTTTTTTTGTACATGAGATGTAAAAAGCTAGTGCATTAAAAACTGCGTACTGTATAGCTGAAGTGACAATACTCACCGATGTTCCGATTATAGACGATCGATAAAAAAATAAAACTTGTGTATTTATTATCAAATTTGTTCCAAGACTGTTGTATATTGCTTGTTATCGAATTCTAAGGTCGTCCTTATGTTGTGATTTGATCGATTCTTCTAATAAGTATTGTTACTCAAGGTTTTATTTCATACGAAGCGCTTGTACACTCTTCACTCATTTTTTTTCTTTTTTATATAATATTGAGGAGTGTATATACACAAAATCACATTATAGATTTGGTTGAGTGCACATGTATTTAGTTATATGTAGATAGGGTTGCAACTGTATAATAAAAAATACATTAAGCGAAGGAGAGTAGGAAATAATATATTTGAAGTTAATATAATGAAGCACGTGGTCGTCGTTGTAAAGAACGGAAAATTATCAATATAAGATTGTATTAAATAGCTGATGATAGTAGTTTCGTTTGGCTTGATTGTTTTTTAATTTTATTGTGATCTAAAATAAAAGTTATACAACGTAATAACAGAGGCTAACAGATTGATCTATCTGCTTATGATATTCTCTCTCATATTGATATTAACATCGTAATTGTTGATCGTACATAAAGGATTTTAATTTCTAATAGAATGATATTACACCATCTATTAATAAATTTTGCAAACATTTTATTATTTTATTAACAAGAATAATATAATATTGTTGTTTAGTATCTATGTCGTACTGAAGAAAAAATATTCTGTTTCTTGTAGGCTGTGAGTAGTGTTTGAAAAATCAAAAGATATATCTAGACATATCTTCAGTAAAGAAAAACACGTTTACTCTAATTGTTTAATATTAAAATAGTTTATAAAAAGATAATTTTATTTTAAAATATAAATTCAAGGTTTAGAACAAATAATAATTTCAAAAACAAATGAATATAGTAGATTATCTAAAAAAGTAACATTACTTTTACCTAAATCAGCTGAATGTGAATGTTTTGAATTAGAATTAAAATAATGGTTTTTATTAATTTCATCTGAAAATAATCCATCAGATGTATAAATAATAAAACGGTTTTTTCATTCTAAAAAATTCTTCTCATTTATTTCTAGTTAACTTTTCATTTTATGTCAACGATTATTTCATCAAAAATTGCTTATTTTGAAAATTATAAAAAAAAACAATTCAATTTCATCAATGAAGATTTGAATACTCCACATATTTGTAAAAGTAATCATTTATCTAATCATATTTGTTATTTTATTAGTTAGAATAAATAAATTGAAATTTCTCATAATGATATTAATAATAAATATCAAGTATTATTACTTCAAGTAAATATGTTAACTGGTATTATAAAACAACATAATGCAAAAGTAGCAAATCATAAAATAAATCTTGAAGGATAATTAAAAGATTTTAATGAACAAATTTTAAATGAAAATGAAAAAATTCAACTTGAAATACAAGAATATCGTTTGAAATTTCTTTAAATAACAGATCTAAATAATCCATTAGAACATGAATTTGGTTTAAAATAAACAACATACAAGAGATATATAAATTCAATTTGAAACATTCAAATTTTGAAAATCAAATTTTAATAAATATAAAATAGAATTTGAAATATTTTGTTTTTTTGAAAATCTTATCTTTTATTATTTTCTAAAAGGAACTACAAACAAAAAGATGAAACTATAAAATGTTATGAATAAGAATTATAATTAATAGAGCATTTATTCGAAATAAGATTAAAAGAAAAATAAATAGAAAATGATCAATTACAACATGAAAAACAATGTAAAATAATTCTTATAAATTTTGATTTTTTTCAAAGTTTTTCAAGCTGAAAATAATGCACTTACACAATTAATTAGTCGTGATCGACATAAAAAATAATATCCAGTTAAATCAAAATTTATATTATTTTTCTATACGACATCAATATCTTTAGGAAAAAGAAATGATTGATAATGAAATCAATCGATTATCAAATAGTTATACTCAATAAAATTATAATCGATTTATTCAAATGATTAAACAAGAAGTAAATTTCGTTTTGTTATTTTACAAAATTAAAATAAATTATTTTTCATAGGACAATGAAATAACAGAAGATGGTATATCTTGTCGAATAACATCAACACCAACATAAATTACAATCACTTATTTAACTATTAGGAATAACTAAATAAATCAATGAAGTATAAAATCATATGAAAAGTTTATTAAGATTTAGTTGTGAAATAATTGTTAAATATAATGATGTTGTTCCAGAACAAGATTTAAAAATATGAAAAAGAAGTAAATGACGATATTGAAGAAAAGAACGAGCTTATACTGTTATACGCATCGAACAACATTAAGTTAGATTAGTCTATATATTTGTTATAATCAACATTAGAGAAATATTTATTTTATATCGAGATGCACATAAAAAAATCAAAAGTATATAATCTAAGATTGAATCTATTTTAAGTTAATATATAAATATAAAATTGAAATCAACTGAAAAACAAACTTTTTAATTATATTTCATATTTATTTTTGATTTGTTTAAAAAATATCTTTTTGAGTATTATAAAAGTTCTTTTTTATCTTAATAAAGAATTTTACTTTGGATATATTTTAATCAATTCTGCATGATTTAATTGATTTATTACACTCGACTGAATTCTTCCACATTAATATTTGTTTATTTTATTCGAATAGAAAATAATAAATTGTTTTTTAATCATTTGTGATGAATCTGATACAATTACGTGATCACAAAGCAAGATTATTTTCTTCTACAAGATAATATAAACATTGAACGTATAAATACGAAAAACTAAATCTAAAAATAAAATTTTTCTAAAATATCAAACAAAAATAAAAATAAAATGATTTACATAATGAATATTGGCAACTATTAGTCTTTTTCATAAATTAAATCTTTTGGGATGTGGGTGTCAATGTAGGTGAGGATGAAGTTTTGTGAAGGCATGACTATGAATGAAGAAAAGAGAAGTTTCATATTCTTATAAATTCATAAGAAATATTATGTGTAGATATTCTTTAGAAAAAAGACTAGTATAGTTAGTAATTTATTAACAATTTCAAATAATTGTATTATGAGTAGAACTTCTATTCATTATTTTTATTGTTATTATGTCTATATGATGATTTATTGTCAGCGAATTTAGTCAATGCACAGATTATCAATGATTTGTAAGAAAATTTTGTTTTTAATTTAAATGAGAATTTATGAACCTTTGTCATAAACTATTCTATTAAATGAAATTATTAACGAATATTTGATATATCGAAAATAAATCTTATGATATGAGTAAAAAGAATTATTATTTATTGAATTCATTAATAGAATTTTCAGTGTTTATGTCGGTGATATTTGACTGTTATAAAATATCAAAACCAATAATATTGTCTTGTAGATATAGAGCAGTAACATTATATGGTTGACACCTAGTCGATGGTGATAGTTAGACATTATCTATAATCAAATCGATATAGTTTCGATTCTATAACAATATACGAAATAAACTTTATATACATAAAACTCTTGGTCTAGGTGATTTACAACAGTTTCAAATAAAGGAATCGATATGTGAAAATATTTTTATAGATGTAGAAGAAGTGAAAAATTAGATAAAAGTGTATTCGATTTATATGTTTTTTTATAAGAGATATTATATTAAACAAAGAAAAACATTAATATACTGATCTATATCCACTTCAACTTTTATGTGAAAATATAGACGACGAAATATTGCATCTTATTAATGTAAACCAAATTGATTATAGACTCGTTTTTTTCTTCGAAAAACGTTTATTTATATTTTCTATTTAAACATAATCGTAAAAAAAGTAAAATTTGATTAGAGATTCGAATTTTCTATTCTTGATTATTCTCATTTAAGTTTTGTTTACGAAATAGCATCAATAATTAATTTCTTATTTTCACTTGTATTTAGGCAAGTTTTTCATAGAATTATCTCTTTGTTTTCACATTTTTGTTCAACTGATCAGTTAAGTAAGGACATAAAAGCAAGCAGATGTTACCATTGCTCAGCTCTTCTCTATGGAAAAACAAACAGTTTATTTTTCGAACTATTATTTGTCTGTAAACAAATAGATGAGCCATAGAGTTTATTTACAATCAACAACAATAAAACATAGAAAATAAACATGATTGAAAAATTCCTTAAAGTTTACTGTGTGTATTATCCCTGTATCGAATATTTAAACAATCACTCACATACTTCATAAAATATGTGTACAACTATAGTATTACGTGTAAACTAAAATACATCGGAATATTGTTGATGTTTTTCATAATATCTCTAGTTCTTCCATTTTTCAATCATTTACTTATACATCAAATGATTAACTTCATAGCTATGTTTAAATGCGATCTCAAACTTATAATTACACTTGAACACGAGTGCATAATACATATCAAACGCAGTGCATCTGCTTTTAGACATGTGTATTATAAAATTTTTAAATGAACTGAATCTGTATTTGAAGCCATAAGTTATAGTAGTATATCCTTAAGAAAAGTTTTTATTTCTTCAAAAGAAATATCAGAGACAAAAGATTAAGACATATTTATGCATTAGAAAATATACACATTTTACACAAGCACGTTCATTAAACGAATGATGTCTGTTCTTAGAAAATAAAGTTGATAAACACTACTGTCGTCAACTTTATTCATTTAACAAAGAAAAATCTATTTTTAAAAAGTACAAAATGTGTACATTTTCAAGATTGTTTATCGATTTTTGTCTTGCTAAACAGAGTAAATCAACAATAACAAAGAAAGTCTTCATATAGCTACAATACATTATTTCTACTTTTATTACATTTATCAACAAGGTGAAGTTTTCTGTTCTTGTTTGCTTCGTTCTTCTTGAATTGTAACACTATCTAAACTTTTTGTATTCAATCTTAGCAGAATAAATTCAAATACTAGCTATTTATAGTTATTGGCTGAAAAAAATTGTAATATACTCGTATAACATCAGAGATTCGGATGCCAATGTCCATACGTAGTTCTTTTTTTGTTAGCCATATACTCAAAATAAGGGTTTTATTTGTTCAAAAAATATGAGATAATTACATGTGCTACTTTATTTTTTTGGTTGACTAATAGCTATTTATGATTCAAATCTCGTAGAATTACGTTTACTATAAATATTATCGATCGTATTCGAATTATTAAACAAATAAATATATGAGAATAGTTAGTGAATTTTATTCGTTTGTTTCATCACAATAAATCATTTATTTTACTATTAATTATTTTTAGCTTATGTTCTCTTTTGGTTAACCATTAGTACTTGTAAACAACTAATAAATCTCAATGATAAATGAAATGTCTTTGTTCCACATAAATAGTGATTTTCTGCTGCACTACCATATCGAATCACTAATATCACATTAACAGAACTCTGATTTTACCTTATTTCATCCTTCTTTGAGTTGTGTCTTATCCTTGAACTCATCAGTAGAAAAATACTAGAAGAAACAAATGAAAAAGAACGATGAATGTCGTACGGTTGTTTATTATATCTATCTTATGTAAAATCACTTTCTCATGCTACAATGATGACCTATATACTCATCTATATAATCATTTTTCTTTTCTGTTGTTACAATTTCCGGCAAAATGTAATTTTCTGCTTCCTTTCTTATGCAATGACATGAAATTTCATGTACTATTTTCTTTTAGCTTCATTTAAGTAAGAAACACGGCTAGTCGAAGAGTGATGGTTAATAAACAACAAAACCAACATGTTTATATATTATTTGAAACTCTTCCTAACGAACTTTTCATTAATATTTTATGTTATTTAACTACTATTTATACAACTATCGTTTTTTTCGAATCTTAATTATTATTTTCAATGTTTAGTTGTCGACTATTGTCAATCATTTAATCTTATCTTCAAATATCATAAGACAAATCGATGGCATCCTATGAAACTTTCTGATGATATAAATTCATCTGACAAGTGAAATATTTCTTCGAAAATGATTTTCTTATTTATAATGATTCTCAATTAAAATCATTATCTATTATTAAAATCCAATCATTTAATCAATATCCATTATTATTTCAGCTGCCATTTCTTATAAATCTTGTATCACTTCAAATTGAATCTATATATGGAAATAATATGTCATATTTTGATTTTCCACAATTAAAAAAACTTATTTTTAGTTCATGTATCAATACAAATTGGCTTAAAGTAAAAAAAATAATAAATTGTTATCCAAAAGACAAAATATTATAATAGTCAAAAACATTAAAACATCATAAGAGGATTTTTATACAGATGATAAAGATTATTTATTAATTCAATAGTTATTTATTGATTGATCTAAATTAATTAATCTTAAAATTTATCAAAAAGAAAGTGGAATAACATTTCCTAATCGTCAATTATGAGAATAAATCATTGTTTTATCATTTCCATTGTTAAATAATTATCAATTTAATTAAATAAAATAAGTCATTAAATCATTTTCTACATCATTCTATGTATATGAATAGAATTGATTTATTCGTTTAGATATGTTTGTAAATTATGTATAACAAACATGCCAATCTTGTTCTTCTTTATACAACAACATTTCCTTTTCAAACATTTACAATTTCAAAAACATCATTTTCATATTGGTCAACAAATACTCTTACTGATCAAAGTATTAATATCTATAAAAAAAAGTTAAATGATTAATATTGAAAAGTTGTAGAATATTTGATGAAAATTTTAATAAAAATAACATTATTACTTTATTAGTTTGGATAATTCTATTCAATAAATTAAAATATTTAATTATTGAAGATTGTGCAGTTGTAACAATTAAAAATTTCAATATTTTATTAGATAATTCACCACATTTTGATGTTCATTAACTGCGAGAAAAAGTATGATGAAACAATTGATAGATAATTGAACGAATATATGTATATGTATGAACATCTATCACAAAAAGTTTCTTCATTAATTTATCATTCATAGAAAAAATTATTACAATCTTTTAATACAAGTGAACTTAACAAAACTTTACCAATTTTTTCTTCAAAATGTCAACATTTATCATTAGATATTAATTTACGAAAAAATCACGGCATTCATTTAAATAGTTTACATGTTTATATTCAAACATATAATTCTCCACCATCGACTATCAAATAGTTAGAATAACAACGATATACTCGATTTAATCATTCATATTCTATTATTATTCTTGATTAGGATAATTTCGATCATAAAATAGAATAACACATATTTTCATATTAATATAAAATTATAATATGCACAATTTTTCAAAAATAGATTCTTGTTCAAAGTCTTAATATATCAATAATTTTATTAACAAATCATCAATGAAAGAAATATTTCGACTTCTTT